GAACCAATAGCACGAAAATTAGGATGATGAAAGGTGAGATATTGTTTGAATAATGTTGTTTACTGTTTGAGAATACTTGATGAACGAACACGAGTCAGATTAGGCGTCGAAGAAGGACGTAACAGCGCAACGCTACATCAAAGAGATACTGGAATCTCATCTATGTCAGTTCCTTTGAACGCTTGAAAGCTATATTTTACAACAAGATAATGCTGGTGGAGCTACAATCAATAACGCTCAACTCTTTCCTTGGCCGACTGAACACGTCTGAGATATGGTGAGAGGAAGAGTGACCTCCTTACCCCATCTTTCACAAACGTTCGGATTTCTTCGGAACCAAGTAGAGCTAGCCTGAAGTAAGACATCTTAAGGAGACATAAGTCGCCTCGTCAGAAGCATGTCCCAAGCTGCTCTATACAGCGTGTCCCAGATTCCCATCTCTATACAGGGATCTCGGCTCCTGTCATACCTACAGCAAAGGTTAAATGGGAAAAGTTTTGGACGAAACTTAGTGAATTCGATCGGTCAATTAGTTTTTGAAATATTGGCCAAAAACAGAAAATGTCGATTTTTGTTTTTTTGCCAGTAAATCCAAAACGGTCAGTTTGACAGCTGTCAGAATGGGACATTATTCGGGAATTTTTTTGAAGCAAATTAGATAGCGTCTATGACATGTCTCAATCGTCTTTTGTTTTCCCGCAGCCTGCCTCGACTTTCAGTTTTCTTATGGCCGCCATAATGGATTTTTCGATTTTTGAAAAGAGCGTAAAATTCCCAGCCTTGTGATGTCCCACAAGTGCATAAAAGGTTAGAGCATCATCGAAATATCATCACACGTAATGTTATGTATTAATTTTTTTCAAGGAGGCCAAATAAATTTACGACCCATAGTTAGGAATTTGTCCCAGAAAATTTGACCTGTATAGAGAAGATAATCTGGGACACACTGTAAAGCATAGGAGGTGGTCCAGCATATTATAGACATTTAGCAATACATCAAACATTTTCGCTACAAAATTCAATTCCACCTTCTTTTCTATGTCTAACTGTACACTGTACAGCAAAATTATTTGATAGGCAAGTAAGCAGAAAATTTATACTAAATACTGGGTGCTCTTCTTTCTCTGTCAGAGAATGTACTTGCGACCTAGAGAAACGGAAAAAAAATCTGTCGTCGGTGAGATTTGAACCTGACTCCGATATTGAATACCTGTTACAGTGTCACAATCACTTCAGACCTGAAGCTCTGTATTGTTTCTGTGGCTATAGAAGCTTGAGCATGAAATGTTACAGAAGTTGTAGAAGAGACATAAACTTAAAAAATAAGTTGATACTGATGAGGGACCAGGGGCTTGATTCTAAATGAGTTTCGACCGTTGAAATTGATTCCGGTGGCGCCTTGTGACGATATACTTGATAAGCTATGATAACTTTGACACTCCCATGATAATTTGAATATATAAGATCATTATAATCAGATGTCAAAATTGTCATTGCGAATCAAGTATATCGTCACAAGGTGCTATCGAAATCAATTTCAACTGTCGAAACTGATTTGGAATCAAGCCCCTCGAGGCTAAGCTAGGAGAAAATCAGAAAAAACCAGCTAAGAAAATGGGGGATCTCTACCAACACAGAATATGCCTTTTTAATGGCTGTAATATGATGTTTACATCTATTCTTGGATATTGCAGTTTATGCCCTTTTTTCACGTTTGTGTAATGGTAAAAACCTTTTTGAAATTTGAAATTTAAAAAAACTGATTTAAATCCCCCTCTATAAAATGCAACCATATATTTGATGTCAAACAATCAACCTTAGAGAACAAAGGTAATTTGCCTCGCATCTGACTGCAGCTCAACCTCCATACTGTAACTCAGTAGACTCATATTCTAAGGATAATAAAACTTATCAAGTCACGGCTGAGAGGCTAAATTTTACGTTGGAACTTCGGAGTACAAGTTTTGGCGCTTCTTGTCATAGGTAAAAGTGTAAACGCTCAGAACATACCAGTTAGGCATTGCGATTATACAGCGCCGACATCAGCTACGTGTCGTTATATATGATTTAATTTTGGTTGGGTATCAGAGTTTGCCGTAAAACCCTGTGCATTAGAGAAACGATATCCTGGTTTTTATTAGATCCGGGTTTCTTAGGTTTTCTGCGAAATTTCGCGACAGCCCAAAACTGTTTCTAAGGTTGTTTAATGCCGAACATTCCATTATCATACTACTACATACATACTATTCAAATAGGTGTTGGAGAAGATTACGAAGTGTGGCTGAATTTTTGATTCGCCACTAGATGAAAGGTTCCACGTTTGTTAGAATACGGAGTACTCCGCATCATATACTGAACCCTGACACACCTTCAAGCAAAAAAAGCACCTAGAAACGAGAAATTTACAAGAGTGTTTTCTGTTTTCGTCTACACAATACCGGCATCATATCTACATACATTCTGTAAAAGAAAGTACCCGCAAGTCTTGCCGGTAAAAGTTCATCCGTCCGTATGGTATTGACCAGCGTCAAAACGATCCCTCACATGATTGCATTCACATTTCTGTGAAAATTCAGGACTAGAAGAAGTCTGTTGTACTTTCAAAGGTTCGTGGAAGATTTAGAGTAGTTTGGCAACAATGCCTGCTGCACAACACGCAGAAAGAACATTTGGATGCAAAAATTTCGAATGGTAGGATATGCCAGGACTGGCATTGTCGTAGGAGGCACGACATCTTGCATAAAATGCGGCGATTATTTGCCGTCTTCTTTCCACAACAAAATGTACTGATGAAAAATATGGTGATTATTGCTCTACCCTCCTTTGTTTCCACAAGGATGCAAATGAGGCTTTGAAAAAACCGAATATGTTAATATGTTAATTTTGCACTCGGCTACCCTTCCTCGCCTCATCTATAACATTTTCGCATTTAATATAATTTCTTATGCTTTACGTCATAGCGCCAAAACGAAGCATTCTTTCTACGCATCTCTTACTAATTAATATTCTTGACTCCAAATCCAAGAAGTTTTTAGTCCACCTTTCCACATTTGCCAACCTTCCACCTTCTATCATTACTTGTTCATATTATTTATTTTATTATTAGTCTACAAAATAAAAAAACAAATTTTGTTAGCACCTTATACATGCTAACACACAATTGTTTTATTTCATGTCAACATCGCCCGCCTTTCCAGAAAAAACCTGTCTCTGACGGATCAAGACTTTTAATGGCAAACTGCTCTAACCATAACCCGATGCCTTTGACCTTCCTATATCATAGCTGCATAAATAGCATGAGCCAATTTATTACCACATGCTTATGGTGGTCAAACACGTGACATAAGTGTGAAGACCTATTATTACAATCCACTCAGTGACTTCACGGACTTTCTATTATAAATTTCTGTTTTGTGGGCTTCCCTCGTATGACGATTTGTGGAATGTCAAATCATGTCCATGGTAGCTTTGATTCTAAGTTTGTGTCTAACAGACAGAGCCCCACGTCCAAATAATTGTTTATGCAATGGGTATATTTTGATGTATAAATTCAACATTAAATATTTACCGCATGTATGATCGCTGGGTTGTATACAGGGTGTAAACGTTATGGTAGTCATTATTGAAATGGGTAATAGGGGGAGTCAAAACAAGTCAAAAAGTTCATATGACCCATGGGCCAAAAGTCAATAGATTTTTGTCTAAATGGCTTTATAGTTCACAACTTTAAGTGCTTTATATCGACCATAATCACCACAATCTTACTAATTTTTATAATCTAATCTAAAACGTTTTTCAACTTGTAGTCAGCAAGTAAGTTTCATTAAATTAAATATTTAAAACACACATGACAACAGCGCGTCGGTCTTTCGTCACTCTTATCGAACAATGGTTAGTTATCGTTTTGCATGGATAAATTACTTTATCGATATGTCGAGCAGATCATCGGGCGAGTTGTTTTGTTTTTGTTCGCGTACGTCGTCGTGTTTATTTACAATGTTCTACAATTCGCCAACATGTTGTTAGTTTGCGGTGAAGCTTGTCAGAATTCAAATCTTGTAGCTCAAATTTATCGGGGCAGATTTCGCCAACGGGTACACCCAGACAGAAGGACATTTGTGCAAGTGTACCAAAGACTTCGAGATACAGCCCACTAACATTTGCGCTCGTGAAAGACAGGTTACTGTAGAGCAGGAGGCACAAATTTTAAATATCGTGGGAATCAATGCAGATATCAGCACTCGGGAATTAGGCCGCCGCGTAGGACTATCGCATGCCTTAGTCCATAGAATCCTACAGGAAAATTTGCTCTACCATGTACAACGAGTGCAGGCCTTGTTACCAGAAGACTATCATCTAACATTCTGTCAGTGGTTTTTGCACAAAAACATTGAAAATCCAGATTTTTTTAAAAACATTCTAGCGACGGACGAATGTACTTTTACGCGAGACGGGATGTTAAATTTCCATAATACTCACACGTGGGCCCAAGAAAATCCTCATACCATTCGTGAAGGTAATTTCCAACAACGTTTTAAAACAAATATTTGGGCGAGTATTTTTGACGATCAGGTAATTGGCCCTTTCGAGTTACCCCCAAGGTTGTCAGGAGAGGGATACCTTAGCTTTATAGCCAATAACCTACCAGACAACAGACCTTAGACAACATGCCATTACAACCGAGACAGAATTTGTGGTTTCTTTATGACGGGGCACTACCAGACATTTTTAGAGGCGTCATTCAGTGGGTGATATGCATAAATTTGAGTGGGTTCTCAGAAGTAGCGACTCCATATTGTAGCGAGTAACTACTCCTGTTAGGGAGAGCCTACTCGGTTTTGATATGCATAAAATATTTGTCGTGAAACGGAGAGGCTACTCAAGTGCTAATGAAATACTTGAGTAGGCACTCTGGTTTTCGAGTTCGGACTGTTTTGTTGTCTCGCAGAATTGGCAATTTCGAAATCAAACCGGAAACAAACCAATAAAATTGAAAGGATGAGAACAAGAACTGTTCAATTTTCTACAAGGAGAATCAAATCCTAATATTGCTCGATTGCAATGTTAGTTGTATTTTTTTGTTTTTCCATACAGTAGGTATAAGATGTGATTGAGTATAATATACATACATGTCAATAAATATAAATAGCATATATTTTAAATTTTAGGTGCTGTTGTGGCAGGTTGCCCACAAAGAGCGTTCATTACCCTCCAACAGCCTGTGCTGAAGAAGAAACAATCACCGAAGAAGCATCTGGAAGTTCAGGACCAGTACCACAATGAAAGCCGGACCCCCGTATTTTGTTATGTAGAATGGGAAAAAGCTGTTTTAGTTGCCCGAAACATCTCTCTATTATAACTCGCTCTCTCGTAAACAGCCGATTGTATGATCTTTGTTCTGCTGTTTCTGCAATCCTAAAAGGAGTCATGAGCCAAGGAGCTGTACCATACCCAGAGTCTCCCAACAAAACAGCACTAGCCCTATTCCATTTGATGACGTTGTATATATCAGAATTCTTCCATCCAAGTCTTCGTTTGAATTGCACGTTGCTTGTACATTTATACTAGCAAAGTTGTTTCTGTTCACATATTCGTCTGCATGAATAAACGGCTTCAGAATAGGTATATGGGTGCAGTTGATAGCACCAATAGCTGAAGGAAAATTGAACTTTTCTTGCCACTTATTTTTAGCATTGTGAGATCTTCACATGAGGTTGGGAATCTAATCCAAATATTCGACTTCTGCACAATGCGTGTTATAACGTTGGTAACGGTTCGGGATACCGTAGATTGATGGACACAAATATCTTCTCCTATGCCAATTTGAAATCCTGGATCACCCACATATCGTAAAAAAACCTGCATTCTTTCTATATTGCTCAAAGCATCGCCCCTATATTCTTCTGTCTCTCCAAGAAAATGATTACTTATCCACTCAACATTAACTTTACTAAAGCGATATAAGGCCTGATAGTCTACTTCCCTTGATTCCCTACGATCTTTAAACACCTTCGTAGGCTGATAAATAGGCATAAATTCGGCCATTTCGTGAAGACATCCACTTATTATAAAGCTGAGTCTACTACTAAGGTATCTCGCATTTCTTTAAGTATGTACTCAGCGGTCGGAGTGGACGCTCGCTTTTATGCATATAAAAATTAAAGTCTGCACTCAAAGAGTGAGTACAGCCTCACGGAAAGAGTAGAAACTTATGAGTGTGAGCTTCTACTTACATTTTTATGCATATCAAATGGAGTGGCTACTTTAAAAATGCGAGTCAAAAGTAGCAACTCGTCTTTATGCATATCACCCAGTATTTGAATGAACATTATCCGAACCGCTGGATCGGTCGAAATGCTCTTGATCCTCGAAAATGGCCAGCATGATCTCCTGACTTCGATCCGATGGATTTCTGGTATTAGAGAGAACTTAAAGGGATGGTTTATGGGGCTGATCCAATAACAAGTGAAGCACAACTTCGCGAAAAAATTTTTAATGCGGCTGAAATAATAAATGAACAACTTCGAGGACCTAGAGTAAGAACAAACTGGGTTTGTCGTAATGAAGTTTGTATGGAAAGTGGAGGACGACATTTTGAACACCTTCTTTAAATACAAAAAAAGTGCAGTGTAGGTTTTAAAAAGATAAACAATGTATATATCAAAATTGTGTTCTCTATTTATAAGTGGATTTTTTTAATACGTTCAAGAAACTTTCACACACCAGGTGAAGCGCTGAGACAGTTAGTGGTAAGTCCGTTTGTTTTAGTTGTTTGCATTTTACGAGTACATTACTAAATAATGAAATAAAACCTAAGAGCTAAAAATAACAAACTCCATCTTTATTTACACTGCGTTTCATCGTCTGGCATTGCGGCGTTGTCAGATTTTATTTTTCTTTAAAGTCGCTTTTCTCTAAAAAAATGCGGGTTTGACCCCCATGTTATATGAAATTTTTTGCTCCTGTTAACCCTCTCAGTCACCCATTTAAATAATGACTATCATAACGTTTACACCCTGTATTCTACAGAAATACTTCATATCGTATAGATTAGCCTCTATTTTACGAAAATATGCTGTAATTATAACAAACATAATGTAACATAATACATTTGTAACATTTTTGAGTCCGGCAACATTTGCCATTCATACTTGGGAGTGACGTTACCAAGCCCTACATTTTTTAAGTTTAAATAAGTTCCCGATGAGTAATTATTCGTTCTTGAAAATAAAAAATCCATTCTCCTTATCTACACATAGACAGAAACATAAATTCCAGAGTAAAGGAAGGCTATTATTAAAATTGAACCATATTCGGGCTGCTCGACATGCACATAAATTGGTTGCATAGCCTAAAAGTACGTATTGTGGAAAGGGTTGCAACAAAACTGTTGTTAAAGTGAAACTGTACAAATACCATGACAGGTTATGCTCAGATTTAACTGATTTCAAGTATCTGGAGAGGAACCTCATAGCATGTCAAGTAGCGATTGAAGTATGGACAACTACGAAATTCCCAGGTTTTGCCTTTTTGATAGCTATGTTAATGATACGATGGAGACAGTCAGCTTTTTGAGCTTTCCATTGCACACCATTTTAAACATGAAAGGTTGAATAAACTAAAAAACTATTATTTTGACGGATCCGTGGAGATTCAAAAATCGCGTAAATTAAGAGATGTCGCATGATAATTTGGACAAAACCATATAGAGGATGTTTTGTGGTTTGTACAAACTAAGAAGGATGGACTTTTTTCGTTGTCTTATTATCAATATCAAGTATCATGCGTTATAGCCAATAGTATTGTTTTTCGTTGAAATATATACTAAATGACATAGAAAATGCAATACCGACTAAGAAAGTATACTCTTACAAGTTTTAGGTTCACTGATATATAGAAAGTGATTAATAATTTAACTCGAAATTTCCCGAAATAGCTGAGATGTCCCTCGTTAATGTTGATAATGCGTTGAAGCTCCCCTGTTCGCTACTCATTCGTTAAGTAGTTGCGGTATTGGCTGGATTAAATGATTGATGTCCTCTTGGTGTTTTATATTCCAGGCCATTTGAATTTGTTTTCGTAGAGACTCTAATGTTTGTAGAGGGTTGGGTGAATTTTGTAACTGTCTTCCCATCATGTCCCATACATGTTCGATGGGGGAAAGGTTTGGAGATCGAGGAGGCCACTGACGCATATTCACTCCAAATGCTTCTTGAAAGTCTAAGCTAAGACGTGCCAGATAAGATCGCGCATTGCCTGGATCTTTCAGTTTTCACAAGAAGGGAAGCAGATGTAGTTGTAAAACTTCGTGGATATAGCGCTGGGCGGTCATGCTACCTCGAATGAACGCTAATCATGACCTGCTGCCGTAAGCAATGGCACCCCATACCAACATCCACAGTGTGCCGTTCGATGGAATATTGGACGTTTTTTTCACGTTTTCCCTCTTCACTCTTGGGCGGCTATCATGTGTGCCTAAACAGAATCAGGACTCATCGCTGAACACGACTGAGTTCCATTCCATATCCCATTCAGGTCTCTCCCTACTCCATACCAATCGTTGCCGACTATGCTGTGTGGTCAGAGGTAGTACAAGATGGGGACGGTATGAAAACGGTCCAAAAGACCTTATTTGGCGATAAACTGTCCTCGTTACCCCTGTCAAACTCGGAAAGTTGAGTGAAGTTAGCGCAACCGCGAACTCTAAGCATGATAATGCAATGAAACAACAATGAGATAAGTGAAACCAACACACACCACACACCAACAAATCACTGAATATCGAGTATAAGCATGTTCATTTTGTTCGGTCCAGATATGACAATAAAAGCCTGAACAAAAAAAAGTACGGTTCGGATTGCCATCAACATTTTATCAGCGTATACTTCCATGATAGCAAATATGTTTACAAGTTTTTATCAAAATTCAATAAATAATTGTGGGTGTTGCATTTTACATGTCACTCAGTATAAGTTGTAATTTATATGTTGAATCATTACTAAAATGCATGAAAAATCGATAAACATTTTCAAACACAACATAATAGGCAAATGTGTAAATTCTGATTTCCGACCTGGAAAAGTAATAACTTGACAATTTCTTAAGGAAAACTTCTATACGGGTCTTCAAGTTACATAAGAATCTCTTGTCTGCCATCAAAAAATTCAGTGAACTTTGTCAATGAAATTAACACGTTGACTGCGGCTACCAATTTCTACCTTCATTTGGTGTGCGGCACATGCCCTTGGAGACCCGTGCCTTATTTTATTTTTTGTGCGTCACATGCCTCCTGTGGCATGTTTGCATTTATGACATGTAGAGACATCTAGTTCCACCAGTTACATTTTTTTTCAAATATCAATGAATTCTAGTTGCTTTCATTAAAGAACTCTGCCTGCATTTTCAATAGCACATGCCTCCGGGGACACGTGCCGCAAGAAAACTAAGGAAAATTTTAGGTTACTTATATTTATTCATTATGCAAAAAGTAAACATATTTATTTTAAGTTTAAATTTGAAAAAACGGTGTAGAACTTAAAAAAAATGTAAATTATATCCTAAAATTAACTTAGAAAAAATAGAAACTAAAAAAAATACACGAATATAATACAGGGTGGTCCATAAGTCCTTTGAAATTTCAAATTTGAATAAAATTTAACGGGCGTGCGTGAGCGGCGCGGGCGAGGTGGGGGCAGTATATTCAGTGTCTGGGAATTCAGTCGCCATGGAGTGTTTCACTGGAGCGGATCGTGCTTTTTGTGTGCGCGCGTTTTATCAAAATAATGATTCGGCAACCATTGCGCGGCGTAAATATCGAGAATACCACAATTTACACAATTTTACAAAGTGTCCAACAGCTCAAACGATTAAGAACTGGGTTGCTAAGTTCGAAGAGACTGGTTCGACGTTAGATAAACAGCGGTGGGGTCGACCAAGGACAACTCGTATTGAAGAAAACATCAACATTGTGGCACAGTCTGTTCGTCAAAATCCTACCCAGTCTACTCGTAAGCGTTCCAGTGGACTAAACGTACCCAGAACATCTTTATAGCGGATTTTAAGGAATGATTTACGTCTGCACGCTTACAAAATTCAGTTAGTGCAGGAATTAAAAGATAATGACGCTATTCAGAGACTAAACTTTGCGAATGAAATGTTGAATCGATTTTCTTCGCTCAATAATGTGTTGTTCTCGGACGAGGCTCACTTTCATTTAAACGGGCATGTAAATAAACAAAATTGCCATTATTGGAGCCCCGAAAATCCAAGGCCTAAGCATCAAAAGCCCTTACACAGCCCTAAAGTTACAGTTTGGGCTGCTATGTCAGCGCATGGC